GAGAGACTGTGTGTGTGTGTGAGTGAGAGAGACTGTGTGTGTGTGTGTGTGTGTGTGTGTGAGAGAGTGACTTTAAGTGGTAACTTGGAGAGTCGGAGAGCTTCTCCCATCCACAGATCTGGTTTTCCGGTCAGAAACTTCTACATTTATTGTGACTCACGAGAACATTTAGAAGAATTATAAAGTGACCGTTTCACAAAAATAAATAACAAACGTGTAATAAATTACACAAAACAATACTGAAATGTGTCTGTAGCATCACATCGCACCACTGCCACTCCTGCTTTGTATTTTTCTTAAATGGAAATTAAATTTAAAATAAAAAAGAGGAGCAAAAAACTCCAACATTTAGACGTAATTTTGACTTTACTGCCCTTTAAAAAACAAAATAAGTGGTTTATAAACTAGGACAGATGCTATTTTGGTTACATTTTACCATATATAATATTATATTACTACATTTCACCTGTATTAAACTTTCCCCTCTTTATCTGAACTTAAGTTCTTTTATGGAAATAATAAATGTATATTTCTCAAAGTAAAATGTCAAAAAAGTAACTCAAAATGACATTTTACATTTGTTTTAAGCAGTGTGATCCTGATTAACTGTCTTATTAGTTGGTCACTACCTCTCATTGTGCTCCTCTTCCAGTGAATACTACTTCAGCCTCCACAACCTGGAGCGAGACTTCTTCCTGAGGAGGAAGATGGACGTGCAGGGCTTCCTCCCCATCTCCCTCATCGCCAGCTTCCACAGAGTTCAGGCCCTCACCGTGGATATCAGCCTCATCATGGAGGTGTGTGTGTGTGTGTGTGTGTGTGTGTGTGTCCGTGTGTGTGTGTCCGTGTCCTTTGCACATCTCGTGAGCTGCTCATCCGATCTACTTCATACTTGCTATCTGTAAGTGTTCAGTACAGTGTTAATAAACAGGCGAGGAGCCTCAAAGCTTAGTTTATACTCGCTGGAGCGCGCTTTACAAACGGTTTTAAAAATGTACATTTGAGTAAATATTTCGGCTGTCAAGTCAAATAGTTTACAGTCTATTTCACTCTTGTTTCTTTATTATGCAATTAATACTTCTTTCTTCACAGGACTTGTATAAAGGCCATAAAGAAGTCAATGAATATGATATATGAGTTTACAGTTAATCGTCGTCGTTTGAAGCTGATTCATGGCGTTTTACCGGTTACACTTCATGTCGTCTTGCTTCTTCACAGTACATTATGTTTCTACGCCTTCTGGCGTTACGGAGAATATTTAACAAACATGAGCATTAATGCCTTTTGGCGCTACGCTGCCACGTGGAGAGTTTACACAAATCCAGACTCCAGTGAGGCAGGTTCAGAATTCAGAGAAGTCGTCTGTTCGCGGCAAATGCAGGAAAAATATCTGCTTTGTGTGTTCGCATGAAAAGTAGCCGCACGGTCGGTGACGTGTCTCTGTTCTTTTTCTCTCCATGTCCTTACACAATCTATGAGCACAATCTATGAGCTTCTTATTAATTATTAAAAGTCACTAACACATACAGTACAGTGAGCGCTGCATGTGTATGCCTTTCGCCTGATGTAAAATAAGTAAAATGACGGGTAATTTTAGATTTTGACGGTATTTTTACAACAAGTCTGAAACCCAACCAGTGAAGTCAGTGAGCACGAGCCAATCGGAGGCAGAGATGGGCGGGTCAACGTGTTTTTACTTTTAATGAATCTAATGAATAAACATCTCCAGGCACTGAAGAGCAGCAAAGAGGTGGAGCTGGTGGACAACAAGGTTCGCTGTAAAATCGACCCGGAGCGCTGGCCCATCCCGACCCCTCCCGTCGTGGGTTCCCCCCGGACCGACTTCTCCCAGCTCATCAACTGTCCCGAGTTTGTTCCCCGACAGACCCTCAGCTCCACAAACTCAGGTCAGTGTTGAACTCTTATTCTGCTTCAGAAAGAGAAGATCACACCATACTTCATCTGGGGATGAAGTATGGTGTGATAGCTTTTCTTCCTCTGAGCCATAGAGCTCCATTTAAAAAAAAAAAAAAACACACCGTGAGCCTCACTGTCGTTTATTTTGACTCACAAGAGCACCACATGTGGATTCCTCCACCGCTTTAATCACGTTTATTGTTCAAAGACAGTTTTAAGATCTTTTTCGGAGGTTGTCTAATGGTGTGATGTGTCGGGGGGGCCCTTCAGCTTCATCGCCCGAGAAGGAGAAGACTCCTCCTGAGTGCGACGAGCCTCAGGACTCGGCTGAACCCATCGGCTCCTCCAGCCAGGAGGCTGTGCCAGCCAAAGACGCCGACGTCTGGATCCAGGTGGAGAAACGCCACCGACAGCCCCCCGGAAAGGTACCGAGTCCAAATCCCCGTAAAGTCTTTCAACCGTTCCTCATCCCTTTCCGTCATCTCCTCACGTCTTCTTCATGTCCTCCGTCCTCTTCGTCTCTGTGTACATGTGGCTGCTGCTGATGTGTGTGTTGTCGCCTCTTCTCTTCCCTCAGCGCTTC